CTCCCTCCTCTCTCTCTCCTCCTCTCTCTCTCTCTCCATTTCTACCTCTTTTTTTTCCTCTTTTAAATCATTTATCTTTACTTTTTACATATATTACGGTATTGTTAATGATATTATGAAATGATATTTATAAATTACTTACCTATTGTATAAGTTATTTGTATGAAAGCATTTTAAAATTAATGAATAAATTTAAATTTTAGCTATTTTTTATTTGATTAAAAAAAAGCCATTAATTACTATAAATTGTAATATTTTGTGTTTTTAAATTTTAAAAATTAATAAAAACTTATACATTATTGAATTATTCTTTGTTTTTTGATTTCTTTTTTTTTCAAATATTTGTCAAAAAAGTTTTCTATTTAATCAATAAGTTATGATTTTGATAATTTATTGAAATTTAAAACTTTTAATGTTATTTGTTTAAGTTATTTACATCACATTTTTTCACATATATTTGTTTTGTTTTGTTTTTTTTTCGATCGACATATTTTAATTGAAATTTTACTAAAATTTAATTCAAATTTTTGTATTAATAAATCCTAATTAGAAAATCTAAAATGCCCAAAAAGAAATCTATCTTTATGGATTATAATTAATTGAAGATATATGAGATAGACATAGTTATAAATAACATTTATGCTTCATTATTTAAAAATTAATTAAATCAGATGTAATTATCATAAAACTGTTTAATGACATGCCATATTTTATTTCCATTTCCACTGGTTAAATTTCTTCCTTTAATTGCAACATATTTAAAAATTTGTAATAATGGAAAAATGAATAATGAATAGATCGAAAAGTGTTGAGAATAATTATTATAATCTGATTTATGATAACATTCATATGATTATGCATGATAATGATTAGATGAAGGCGATGTAATTAACTTAAAATAAAAATTTGAATTGAAATTGAAAATTGAAAATGATCAAATGCTAACTGTAAATATTTGATGTCTTCAAAACTATTTTGATATATACATATATATATATATATATATATATATATATATATATATATATATATATATATATATATATA